TTCCTCTCTCTCCCTCCCACTCTACCTGAACAAAAAATGGAAAAATGTCCTCAGGTGAGGATAAAAAAAAAAAAAAAAGGATAGAAGAGAGACTTTCACTGTGACTCTTTGTATATTTTCCAGAGTTTTGAACCATGTGAATGTTCTCTTGTTCAAAAAATTATTAAGAAAAATATTATAAATTTTATATTTAAAATTATAAAGGAAAAAAGTTTTAGAACATTTCTACCACCACCACCACCCCCCAAAAAATATTTCCCTTGTACCCATGGCCCCAAGCAGCCTCTAGTCTACTTTCTGCTGCTATTCTTTTGTTTTCTAGAACTTCATGTAAAATCAAATAATATGTAGTCTTTAGTTGAATTATCTGTGGGTGCTTTAAATTTTTTACTTTTTGCTGTTATAAATAATGCTGTTCTTAATATTCATGTAAAGTTTCATTTCTTTGGGATAGTTGCCTAGGAAAGAAATTGCTAAATTGTATGGTAAGTATATGTTTAAATTTTTAAGAAACTGACAAACTACTTCCCAAAGTGTCTGTACTGTTTGCATTCCCACCAACAATATATGAGGATTCCAGTTGCTCCACATTCTCACCAATACTTGTTATCAGTGATGTCCTGTTATCTGTGGTGGTATCTTACTGTGGTTTTGGTTTGCATTTCTATAATGGCTAATAATGTTGAGAATCTCTCATGTGCAGTACTCCTTAGCTCTTATATCTTCTTTTGTGATGTGTCTGTTCAAATCATTTGTCCACTTTTTTTTGTACTTAATCTGTTTATTAAAAATATCCATTACTGGACCTGGCCAGTTTTGCTCAGTGGTTAGAGTGTTGGCCTGCAGGCCAAAGAGTCATGGGTTTAGTCCCCAGTCAAGGACAGGTTCAATCCCCCGCCCTGATGGTCAGTGTTGTGCAGGAGGCAATCAATCGATGTGTCTCTCTCACATCGATGTCTCTCTCTCTCTCTCCCCCCCACCCCTCCCTCTCTCCCTCTTACATTATCTAAAAGAAAAAAAAGGAAAAATATTCTCAGGTAAGGATTAAAAAAAAAATCTATCACTTGATCACCCATGAGTTCAAACATTTTATCAAATTTTAACTTAAAAGTCATAACAAAGGAGAATATCTAATAAATGACGTGGGAACAGCATGCAAGGTCTGATCCCAGGTAATGTTGGTGCTGAGGATTCAGGAACTACACTTGGAGAACCACTACCTTAGATCATGGCAAAGAGTCTTTCTATAGAAAGATTTGTTTAAAGAAGTATTACATAATCTTTCTAGAATAGTTAGATATAATCTGGACATGCCTGAGATGGTCTTGGGCTTTGACAGACTCCTCATGGTCAACAGGAAACGAGAGCTCAGTGTGCCACTCCATATATGTTATGTGTGTATTTAAAAAGAGCACTTGAAGTCCTTGGGTAGACTAAGCAGACAAGCAATCAGTAAGAATTTAGAGCTCTGGACATATTATACACTTTAACATTTACAATAGCACTCTGGAAATCTGAGATGGAGAAAGAAAGTTCCTTGTTTCAGAACGCTTTGATTCCATTAGAAAATAACTCTTGTTTTCAAGACTCTTTCACTTCCCCCCTCTTATTAAGCATTTTTTTTTTTTTTTATTCCTCACCTGAGGATGTTTTTCTACTTATTATCAGATAGAGTAGGAGGGAGGGAGGGAGAGAAACATTGATGTGATAGAGCCACATCGGCTGGTTGCCTCCCGCACAACCCGACCAGGGCCAGGGAGTGAACCGCAACCGAGGTACGTGCCCTTGACTGGAATTGAACCTGTAACACATTGGTCTGCGGGCCAAAACCAGCCAGGGCCTGCTAAGCACATTTTAAATGGTCAGTCTGAAAAAGACAAAAAGGAAGATTCCTAGTTGCCAGAAACAGAGAAATTGAAATTGAATCAGAGCCAAAAGAATGAGCTGATATATATAAAGTCCATGAGGATTTGAGGCCTGGATAGAAGCCCTAGGAGCTGGAGTTCTACATGCCCACTTAAAAATAGATGATGTGCCCTGGCTGGTTTGGCTCAGCGGTTAGAGCGTCGGCCTGCGGTCCTGAGAGACCCAGGTTCGGTTCCCGCTAAGGGCATGTACCTCGGTTGCAGTTTGTCCCCGGCCCTGGTCAGTTGTGCGGGTGGCAGCCACTCGATGTGTTCCTTTCACATCGATGTTTCTCTCTCTCTCTCTTTCTCTGTTCCTCTCTCTCCCTCCCACTCTACCTGAACAAAAAATGGAAAAATGTCCTCTGGTGAGGATAAAAAAAAAAAATAGATGATGTCCTAGGTGTATGAGTTTGAGGCATTGGAAAGAGACCCTCCACAGAGCCTAGGTGAGAAGTTGGTGAAAAGAAGACTAGACGCTATCCACTAGCCTGGCAAAGCAGTAAGAAAGGTTGCTGTATGTCCTGGGCTTTGTGTTGTACCATATGCAGAACACATCAAGGCAAAGAGAAAACTTTACAATCAGACAGAGAAAACATGACCTAGAAAGGCCAGACGTCACTGACAGCAGACACATCAGCAATAACCAAGGCCAGAGGGGCGTTGAGAAATCTTCAAAGTGCTGAAAAAACTAACTTCTAATTCTATATCCAGCTAACTTATATTTCAAAAGTGAGGTCAAAATAGACATTTGTTGTCAACGTCAAAAATGTTGTTAGCCCTGGCCGGTTTGGCTCAGCGGTTAGAGCGTTGGCCTGCGGTCGAGAGAGACCCGGGTTCGGTTCCCACTAAGGGCACGTACTTCGGTTGCAGTTTGTCCCCGGCCCTGGTTGGGTTGTGCGGGTGGCAGCCACTCGATGTGTCCCTTTCACGTCAATGTTTCTCTCTCTCTCTCTCCCTCCCACTCTATCTGTACAAAAATTGGAAAAATGTCCTCGGGTGAGGATAAAAAAAAAAAAAAAAAATGTTGTTAAACAAGCCCCTGCTGGAAACTACACTAAAAATATACCTCAATAAGGAGTGTGTGCAAAAAAGAATCATGTAAGTAAATCTAAATAAGCATGACAGTAAAGACTCTAAAAATATACAAAGTTGGGGCTGGGGGTTGGGGAAGAGATTAAGTGAAAACAGTAGAACTAAAATAACAGGAGGGGAGAGCTGAGTTCAAGAGTTCCGAAGTCCTCATACTTTCAGAGGAAGCTGGCTAAATTTGACAATTTAAGTCACATATGTATGTAAAAATGCAAGAGTAACTACTAAATTAGAAAGAATATAAGTTATTTCCAAAACAAGTTTAGGAAGTAAGGAAAACTCAATAAATATTTCAGACGTCAGAAAAAGAAGGGGAAAATAAATCAAAGCATGAAACATGGAAAAGTTGAGAATAAGATAACAGGAATAACTCCAAGTATATGAATAAACACATTAATTTAAACAGATCAAACTCTCCTAATTTAAAAATGCTTAGATTAAAAGGAATATTAAAGTTAAAAGAAAATTAAAATTCCACAGAAATCAACATCAATTAGAAGATTGCTACTGTTTCTCTTGAATTAAGAGCTAGAACAGTAAGCAGAATGGTTTTTAACACGCCAGTGGCTTTAACAATCCCATAGACTACTGTAAGCATTCTGAACACCCTGATTCACGAAGTTATATAAGCAGCATGTGGCATCTGAATTCCACAGTGCATTAAGGCTTGTTCTTTGGAGAATCAGTGAACTTTTCTGCAATAAAAAACAACTTGATATTCTACTCCCATTTCTCAAGAGAAACTCTTAACACAACAGTGATTCAGAGGATAAAATGTGACTTTTAAGAGACATTGGACAAAAATTCTTTCATAATCTTTGGCACAGTCTTTGATGTTAATGTAAAAGCAATGATTCATAGCAGCCTATAGAGAGCTCCTTCCTTCACCAAAGCAGCAAAACCAGATGTTTACTAGGTACTCCAAGAGTTTTAAAGGCAAGCTACTTTTCACTGTTTTATCTCTCCGTGGTCTTTCCAGCTTTCAAAATGGGTTCACAAAACAAGAATTCTTGATGGCATCAGCATTCTCTTAAAGGACAAAAAAGAGAAGCTAGCTTGACTAAGAAACATCAGAATTTCATTTGGTTACATGCCGGAAAAAAAATGGCATAACGTTTACGATTCCTTTAAACCTTGTGATTTGAGAGACTGCAAGAGAAAAAAAATGCCCATAATTCTGGAAGAATAATGTCATCTGAAAGAGGCCTTCATTGTTCTGCTCCTGGTCACAAACCATCCAGAGTTCAGAGAGCTTCACCAAGGCCTCTCCTATCATATTAATTCTGCTTACAAGATCTTGTAAAATAAGGCTTTTGTGTTGAGGCAAATCCAAATTTAGGGAAGGTTCCAGCCTTTTTCAAATTAAGAAACCTTTTTATCAAAACAGTTTACAATGTCCACTATCTTTTCTGACTGGGCAGACATAGAGGCTTCTTCTGCTTTGTTGGCTTCTGGCTTCTATTAGCAAGAACCTTGCCAGACAAAAAAAAGTATGACTTTATATCCCTGCATACTCGATCTTTAGAGTAAGACAATCTTTTGTCCTACCTTCCTTGTCTTTTTTATTGTATTTTTAAAATAGTTTTCCATTTAAACTAGACTTTGCATAAATACAGATGGCATGGAAAATTTTCCTTGATTCTTATCAACAGGAAGCTGATATATCTCCATATGTAGCAACAATGAAAACTATACATAATCAAACTAAATACACTTCATTTGCCCACTTTTTATTGGGTTATTTGTCTTCATATTATTGGGTTATGAGAGTTACTTACATATTCTGGATACAAGTCCTTTGTTAGATATATGTTTTACAAATATTTTCTCCCAGTCTGTGACTTGTGTTTTCATTTTCCTAAGATGTTTTTCAACAAGAAAAAGTTTTTTATTTTAATGAAGTCAGTTATCAGGTTTTTTTATTTTACATTTTGTGCTCAATGTATCCTAGCAAAGAAATCTTTTAGCAATGCATTTTATATTTCTGTTTTCTGTTTATTGCAGTCAAGCTGTGTTAGTCGACAGGACCATTTACGTTTCAGGACAGGTGGGCTTGGACCCTTCAAGTGGACAGCTTGTGCCAGGAGGGGTGAAAGAAGAAGCTAAACAAGTACGTCACTTTCCACATTTGAAGTTTTCTTCTCTACTGCTTATAGTATTGAGGAGTATTAAAAATCCATGTGGCTGATTTGTTTTAGAGAGATTACCAGATAAATGCTTTTTAAGTTACTTACTAATTGATTTAAGACAACTGTATGTCAGTATAAAGTTGGAAAAAATATTTTAATTGATTTTAGAAAGAGGAAGGGAGAGAGAAAAAAAAAAAACATCTGTTTGTTGTACCTGTTATTCATGTATTCATTGGTTGATTCTTGTATGTGCCCTGACTGGGGATCGAACCCTCAGCCTTAGCATATAGAGATGATGCTCTAACCAACTGAGCTACCCAGTCAGGGCAAAAGTTGGACATTTAATAAATCATTTAACAACCAACCAACCAACCAAAAAAAAAAAGATTGTTCCTTCCTAAGTGACTTGAAATCTGAATTATTGGCTCTTAACTAAATTGATGATAATCATTTTACAATATATGCTTCTATAAAATTATGTATATATCTAAAACTAATATGATGTTAATATATCAATTACATCTCAGTAAAACTTGGGGGGGGGAGCACTGAACTATTGAAATCAGATAACACCTTGCCACTTCCTCGAGGATTGGGAAATTTTTTTATCAGGGTCACTGACCTGCACAAACAACCCTACCACCACAGAAGTAAAAGTCAACATTTGTTAGTAAGAGAGAAATATCAAAGATTACATGCAGTACGTTTTTCTAAATAAGACTGGGGAATACAATCTAATCCAATAAGTAGAATTAAATTACACTTTAAGCCCTGGCCAGTTTGGCTCAGCGGTAGAGCGTCAGCCTGCAGACCAATGAGTCGCAGGTTTGATTCCAGCCAAGGGCACGTACCTTGGTTGCGGTTCGTCCCTGGTCCTGGTCAGGGATGAACCATGTGGGAGGCAACCAGTCAATGTATCCCTCTCACATCAATGTTTTTCTCTGTTCTTCTCCCACTATATCTGAAGATCAATAGAAAAATCTCCTCAGGTGAGGATTAAAAAAAAAAAAAAAAGATGGTTGACTGAATTGAATTAAAATTTTAAGATAACATCCATGCCTTAGGCCTTCTTGCCTTGGTTCACAGGCTCTTACAAACATGGGTGAAATTCTGAAAGCTGCAGGCTGTGACTTCACCAATGGTGAGCAACTTGATATTACTTCAGTTTCTGTTTGATATTTCTTTGCTCTTTTTGAAGAACACATGGCATCCAGTAATATGTTATGCCATAGTTTTGTTGCTTTATAAAATAGTTTTAATTTCAGTCCCATTTTAATCAAAGTCATAGAACCATATACTCTTTTTTAAGTAATGTTTTGGATCAGACCAAATAGCTAAACCTAATAACAATGTATGTATCTTCTAGTGGTAAAAACAACTGTTTTGCTGGCTGACATAAATGACTTCAATACTGTCAATGAAATCTACAAACAGTGTAAGTAAATTGGCTTTATTACTATTTTCCATATTAAAGAGAAATGAATCTATTAACTTTAATAAGTGTGCATTGTTAATTAAGAGTGAGAAGAAATGCTAAAGAAGTAGTCCTAGAGCCCTGGCTGGTGTGGCTCAGTTGGTTGGATTGTTGCCTTGTACACCAAAGAGTTGTGGGTTTGATTTATGGTTAGAGTACATACCTAAGTTTGGGGTTTAATCCCCTATCAGGGCACATGTAGGAGGCAACCAATCGATGTTTCTCTCTCTCTCTGTTCTCTTTTGCTCAAAATCAATAAAACATACCCTCGGGTAAGGATTAAAAAAATAAATCTTGTCCTAAGAGAATGGATACTCTGATTGGACACATATAGTGTGCATCCGTGAAAAAGATCCAAAACATTTATATTGTATTCCCTACAATAATATACTACAACCCTACAAATTCATTTTCTTAAAGCTTGGTCTAGTTATACCCTTCTAAGGCTTCTTAATCCCTCCTAGTAGTTGTTTGTTTGTCTTTTCAACACAGGTTGTATTTACTATTGCTATAGTAAGGTCTAGCCACCATCTCTTTTCTGGCTCTCTCAGAATCATTAGCTAGTTAGTTACTTAATATTTCTATGCCTTGATTTCCTCATATGTAAAATTGGGATAAAACCTTGTAGGGTTGTTGGAATGCTTAAATGACTTAATACAGCTTGTAAACACATTAGAACAGATGCTAGTATGTTGTAAGCTCTCAGTAAATGTTATCTATACTTATTAAAGTGGGGGAAATGGGTGTCCCTACTAGCTGTAGAGATGAGACAAAGGTGTAACATGGAAAAAGCATCATCACTTACTCTGTGCTGCGGAGGTGGCTAGGGCGAACTGAAGTTAGCAGTGAGAGCACCTGCCAGAATTGCTGGAGATGGGCAGCTGCTCTCTATTTAGATCATTATTTAATAAGTATAACTTTAAAAACAACACCCCCTTCATAGTCAACAAGATCAAAGTATCAGAGTACATGAGTATTTTCATTTTTTTCCCAGAAAGCTAAGACATTTTTAAAAAGTATTAAATATATATATAGGAGTCATATGGCAAAATATTTTATCAAGGAAATATGAATGTGAGCTTCTTTTTCTCAATATTGCTTATATCTAAGAACTGAAATCTATGAAGCACTGTCCAAAGTCTTGATTATGCAGTGTTGAGTAACACTGTAGTATCTGAAAATTAAAATGAAATTCTTTTCAATTTAGATTTCAAGAGTAATTTTCCTGCAAGAGCTGCTTACCAGGTTGCTGCTTTGCCTAAAGTAAGTACACTTTAAAATGACTAATCTACACAATTTTAAATTTCTACATTGTTTTCTGAATAGAACAAGCTAAGCACTGTAGCAGGAAATTTCTTTTTTTAAAAATAGTCCCAGGGACTTACAGTCTAAGAGGAAACACTCAATAGTACATGCACAGGGGGGAAAATTAAGAAATGTTAAAAATTAGTCTTAAAAATTCTGAAAATTAAAAATTAAGCCCACACATAATACAGCAGAGTCAGAGTACTTAAACTGTGAGAAAGAGTAAAATAGCAGCGATAGTGTTTTAATGTTCCTTAGAGACTATATAAATTGAGCCAGATTTGTGAGTGGTTATTTTAATTACTTTAATTAGTTGTTACTTGGAATAATCGGTGTATCAAACTTATTAAGGTATTGGGTATAGCAGGAGCTCTGAACTTGGAATCATAGGATGTGGGTTTGAACCTCTACCATTTAGCTTTGCGTCCTGGGACAGGTTAAATAACCTTTCTGAGCTTCACTGCATGAATCTCTGAATTGAGGAGAGAACACCTGTCTAATACAGCTGCTGTGAGAATCACGTGAGCTAATGTACATGAATGTGATAAGCCTGGTAACGGGGCCTATCATAGGTTCTTCATGAATGTTTCCCTCTCCTTTCCTTCCCTGAAAGTTTAATGTTAAAAATGCTGCACTGCTGTATGTTTTTACTAGGTATTATGGAGCTCTCTTAATTTGTAAAAAAAAGATCTAGCCCGGCCAGTGTGGCTCACTGGTTGAGCATCGACCCATGCACCAAGAGGTCGCTGGTTCGATTCCTGGTCAGGGCACACGCCCAGGTTGTGGGCCAAATCTCCAGTGGGGGGCATGCAGGAGGTGGCCAGTCAATGTTCTCTCACATTGATGTTTCTGTCTCTCTCTCCCTCTCCCTTCCTCTCTCTCTAAAATCAATAAAGAAAAAAAAAACTTTTTTAAAAATTAAAAAAAAAAAAGATCTAAACATTGCTTCATTGTTTCCTTCTAGGGAGCCCGCATTGAGATCGAAGCGGTGGCTGTCCAAGGCCCTCTCACAACAGCATCACTCTAAGTGGGCCTGGTGTTTTTCAGTCTGGAATTTTAATGTTTTTAAATTAACATCTTAATTTTTATAATCAATGTTGGAAAGTGTAAGACTGACAAATATCTGAAGTATTATGGAAATGCCACTTAATGATGGCAAATGAACATGAATTAAAAATGAGATGATGGCCCTGGCCAGTTTGGCTCAGCGGTTGAACGTCGACCTGCGGACCAGAGAGTTCCAGGTTTGGTTCCCGCTAGGGGCACGTACCACAAAAAAAAAAAAAAAAAATTAAGTGATGAATCCAGTTACTGATATTATAAATTTCATTTATGTACACTGATTACTGGATGTGAGGGGGAAAAAAGTATACCTAATTCAATTAAATCCTTTAAATTTAATGTTGTGAAATATTGAATTCTCATGTCAAATATATGATTCTGCTTTTACTTGAATAAAATTAGAGATTTAAGTTTGAATGGTTGAGTTACAGGAGAAGAAAGTGGACCAAAATTCTATATAACTAATATTTTTCTAATAGAAATAAAATAATATGCAAATTTTTCTGTGGTGTGATTTTGTTCACTTATTTATTAATGGTTTAATTTGTACATTAGAGCACATTACCTAACTAAAGATGGGGAGCCATGAAGTTAAAATGCCAACTTTTTTTTCCCAAAAATTTATTTCTGACTTCGTACATTTTTACAATGTTGTAATCAGACTATGTGTAACCACTTTGTGTTTGTTCTTTAAAGTCTTTTAACATTTTTAGGCAACTACTAAATGAATATCTCCATGTTGTAGAATAAATTTCAACACAAAATTATACAGGTTAAAAAGTAAAAGTCTCGCCCAGCCGATGTGGTTCAGTGGTTGAATGTCGACCCATGCACCAAGAGGTCACTGGTTCGATTCCCAGTCAGGGCACATGCCCAGGTTGTGGGCCCAATCATCAGTGGGGGGCATGCAGGAGGCAGCCAATCAATATTCTCTCTCATCGATGTTTCTATCTCTCTCTCTCTCTCTCTCTCTCTCTCCCTTTCTCTCTCACTAAAATCAATAAAAGGGGGAAACTTTTTTTAATAAATAAATGAAGCTCTTAGAATGTCTGGCACATAGCAATGATGATGATTAAAGTCTATTATTTGTCAATAAAAATAAATGAGCTATCAAGTCACAAAAAGACGTGTACGTTGCTAAATGAAAGCAGCCAGTCTGAAAAGGCTACATACAGCATTATCCCGATTATATGACATTCTGGAAAAGGCAAAAAAATACATATATATTAGTGCCAAGGGTTTGGGGTATAGTAGGGGAAGGATGAGTAGGTGGAGCACAGGAGTTTTAAGGCAGTGAAAATTTTCTGTATGATACTGTAATGGTGGATACATGGAATTATGCCATTGTCAAAAACCATGGAATGCTCTCTACTTCCATCTCTCTGGGTCTATTTTGTTCATTAGTTTAATTTGTTCATTAGAGTCCACAAATAAGTGAGATCACGTGATACTTGTCTTTCTCTGACTGGCTTATTTCACTTAGCATAATATTCTCCAGGTCCCTCCATGTCATCCCAAAGGGCAAGAGAGACTAACAAACCTCAGAGGGAAGGGGGTTAGGGGGCAGAAAGAGAAACCAGAGAACTTCTATGCATATATGTATAACCAATGGACACAGACAACAGTGCTGTGAAGGCGGGGAGGGGGGCAGGAGTGGGGAGGAGGGTGTCATTGAGGGAAAAAAGACATCTGTTATACTTACAACAATAAAGATAAATTAAAACAAACAACAAAAATAACATTGAATGTACAACCCCAAGAATGAAGCCTGATGTAAACTAGACACAAGTTAAATAATAATGTGTCGATATTGGTTCATCAGCTGTAACAAATGTACCACTCTAATGAGAGATGTTAATAGAGAAACTGTGCAGTGGGGAGGGGAAGTATATTGGCACACTCTATGTAAAAATGCCCTGTAAAATTTAAATAATTTAGTAATGCAGTCTGTGGTAGAGTCTTAAGTGAAAGGTTTCCTCTTCTGTTAAAAACTGTTGGTATCTCCTAAAAGTATAAAGACAGGAAAATCAGTAAGTGACAAACACCTCCTCGCACGAAAATGTGCTTAGAAAAATATTGATAGATGATGAAATTTGTCTAGGATAACACCTGAAATTAAGTTACCCATCAAATCTGGTTTATTATTAACTATTTCATGCTTATCAAAGAACCTATATAATTTATATTCAGGGTTTAGAGGATAATGAAATTAACACCTACAAGTCCAGTTTAAGGAAGGACCACCACCAATACTTTCGAAGACCAACATAAGCCATTCTCAGTCCATGATCCTCACGTTCCCCAAAGATAACTGCAGTCCTAAATTTTGTGTTAATCGTTCTTGCTTTTCTTCATAGTTTTGACACATACAAGTTATGCATATAAATCATCTAGTGTTGCCTGATTTTGAATTTTATATTAATAAGACCATATTGAATATATTTGTCTAGTTTGCTTTTTTTCTCTCAGTATGTATTATGGTTTTAAGACATTTTTTTAACACTGAGTGAATACAAAAGGATGTGGACTACCCACATTCCTACAACACGGTTTGAAAAAAGAACATTCTTACTGCAGAGGAACATTCTTATTGTAGAAGACCTGATATGATGTTCCAATCTGTCCCCCTCCCTCGCCTCACAGGGAACCAATACCCATAATTCTGCGTATATCATTTCTTCTTTCTTCTATGAGTTCCTTGATCTATGAGTTCGGGGCACACAGTTCCTGAAACAGGGTGGGAGTTTAGGTTGGGTAAGCGAGGTGATGGCTGAATCATTAAATAAAATATTGTTTACCTTTGCAAGTTTCTGAAGTAAAAATAAAAAGGAAATATTTCTTTTTGTTTGTTTTGTTTCATGTATTTATTTTTTTATCCTCACCCAAGGACATTTTTCCATTTTTTGTTCAGACAGAATGGTAGGGAGAGAGAGGAAGAGAGAGAGAGAGAAACATTGACGTGAAAGGGACACATCGAGTGGCTGCCACCCACACGACCAAACAGGACCGGGGACAAACTGCACCCTTAGCGGGAACTGGACCCCAGTCTCTCTGGACAACAGGCCAACACTCTAACCTCTTAGCCAAACTGGCCAGGGCCATTTGTTTTGTTTTAGAAGGAATACGTTTACACATAAAACAGGAACACACTTTAAAGACATGCAAGTGAATTTTATCTTCTATATCCAGCAGGGTCACATTTCTCTGTAATCACCCTCCAAAGTAATGAGATAGGAACTTTCATAAGATGCAGCTTAATACTCTCTATATCACCATGCTCTCCACTAGCTTGTTACTGCCATACCCACTCCTCATTGTGGGAGCCTGTAATTAAAAACCAGCAGCCACATGGAGACTGATAGGAGTCACGGAGGCCTGGTCCCATACCCATGCGTGGTAGATAAAAATCAGGAGGAGCCCTGGCCGGTTTGGCTCATACCTGGGTTCAGTTCCCTCTAAGGGCATGTACCTCGGTTGCAGTTTGACCCCGGCCCTGGTTGGTCGTGCGGGTGGCGGCCACTCCATGTGTCCCTTTCACATCTATGTTTCTCTCTCTCTCCCTCCCTCCCACTCTGTCTGAACAACAACAACAAAAATCAGGAGGACACTTCAGCTGGGAAAGTCCTTGTAAGGTAGCCAGGTGCCGCCGGTGGGAGGTGGGAAGAAACCGAAGAGCCAAACAGCCGAATAAGCAGAAATCAGGCTTTATTGGGTACACTCCGGGCGGGTTCACAGACTCCAGGGGTCGAGTCCGAGAAGCCGTGCCCGATGCTGGGGTCTGTGATTTTTATATCTGTGCCTATGGCAGTGGGAACTTGTTGTTAGGGTTAGGTCCTGAGGGGCTACGCATGGGAGCCCCTGGAATGTGAGTCTATTGTCCCGGAGCAAACAGTTCCTGGACTAGGACAGGAGAATGGGACAGGAGTTGATCTATGAGTTCGGGGCACACAGTTCCTGAAACAGGGTGGGAGTTTAGGTTGGGTAAGCGAGGTGATGGCTGAACAGTTTGCCTGGCTCCAGTTCCCAGGCTATCGGACAGTCCTCCCTGAAGAGTGAGGGGTCCCTGTTCCACACCAGGCACCCAGCTCAGGGTTCCAGTGCCAGGAAGAGAATCCCCATGATTTCTGGTTGTAAAACCAGTGGGAACTGAGGCTGAGGGAGGCTGAGGCTGCTAGAGCCCCAGGCAGTTCCTCTTAAAGGGCAGACTTACTGGGACTTGCTCCCTCTAAGCTCAGAGGGGAGGCACCAGAGACTTACGGGGAAGAACTGTGTTGTTTGGCATCGGGGCAAGGACTGGAGAGGCAGCTTTCTCCAGGACGGATGTGCTGTTGTTCCTTTGGTGAGCCCTTCCCCCACAGGGCAGAGAGATTGTACCATACCTGGGACTCCAGCAACCTGGCTCACACTGTTTGCCCCACCTCAGTGATTCCCTGAGGCCCCGCCCCACCCAACTTTTAGGCCCACCCAAGCTGTTTCCAGTGGCTTTACCATAGAATTGGCTTGTTTTGGCTCCTGCTTCAGATTTTCCTAAATTCTCTCAAACAAGCATCATCTGGCCACAGCATGGGGGGAGGGGGGGGAGAGAAACATAGATGTGAGAGAGACACATGGACTGGTTGCCTCCTGCACAACCCCGACCAGGGCCAGGGACAAACTGCAACCAAGGTCCGTGCCCTTGACCAGAATAAACCTTCGACTCTGGTCTGTGGGCCAACATTCCAACCACTGAACCAACCCAGCCAGGACCAGAAGCATATATTTTGTTCATCTGTGAGACTGACTTCTTTTCTATAAAAACATTTATCACCCTGGCCGGTTTGGCTCAGTGGTTAGAGCGTCGGCCTGCGGTCCGGAGAGACCCGGGTTCGGTTCCCGCTAAGGGCACGTACTTCGGTTGCAGTTTGTCCCCGGCCCTGGTTGGTCGTGCGGGTGGCAGCCACTCGATGTGTCCCTTCACGTCGATGTTTCTCTCTCTCTCTCCCTTCCTCTCTCTCCCTCCCACTCTATCTGTACAAAAAATGGAAAAATATCCTCGGGTGAGGATAAAAAACAAACAAACAAAAAAAAAACATTTATCACTGTAGCCCAGCTGGAGTGGCTCAGATGGTTGGAGCATCATCTTGTGCACGAAAAAGTTGCCAGTTCATTCCCAATCAAGGCACATACCTGGGTTTCCAGTTTGATCCCTGATTGGGGCACGTCCTGAAGGCAACCAGGCAACCGATCAAAGTTTCTCTCTCACATCAATATTTTTTTTCTCTCTCTCTTTCTCTCTT